CTAGGACCCTGGAGCTGTGAAGCAGGAGTGCTCACCACCACCCTGTGATAGCATCACAACACCCTGGCACAGAGCGCCATGTGGAAGTGTGGCGCTGAAGAGACCAACAGGCGGTGTTTACAGATCTGCTGGTCCCTAAAGAACAACAGGCTGTTTGACAACAGCCGAACAGATTTGGTATGAATCTGGACCAGACGCTACCTTTGACTTCCCATTTATAACAGTAAGAAGGTCTTCAGAGCTATGAGTGTCATGTATTACTGGACGCCCTAGTAACAGGTAGAGGCCTAGGAGGCTGATGTAGAAGAGAGGATTCCACCAGTAAAAGTAGTAGCAGTAGTTGGCTTTGAGTGGGAATCCCCAAGTGGCAGACCACTGCTGAGACAGTGCTCGCCCAACGTCCCTCCCCTAGAGGGTTACTCCAATACTCCACTATTGGTCCTGTGATTGTTGCTAAACTCCCCAGGTGTGCCCTGTTATGCGTCATATTTAAAGACTAGCTCCTCCAGTCCTCGGGGCTCATCATTAGGGTAAAGATGTCACGAGGCCCGCCTCGCACCAGGAAACCCTACGTCCGTCTCCTGAGGGCATAGGCCTCATTCCCGACACCTCCCGTCTGGAGGACCTCGCCCCGTCACCCTTGGACCTCCATGTTTTGCCCGTGTTCGTGTTTTCCCCCTTCACGGGGATTTTAACCTTGTCGCATCCCAGGATGGATAACTTGTTAATGGACTCCAGGACTGAGCTCTGCCCTGCCTTTGGACCTGTTTGGAATTGGATGCCATTCTCCCCTGTTCACTTTCTCACGGACTGTCACTCTTATTTTGTGCACTATTAAACCCCTGTGTGTTCTCCCATACAATGCCTCCTGTTTCCTCCAGCTCTTACTGCATCACATAGGGTCTATTACAAGACCCGACACAGATTTCTGTCCATGGTCATGACAGATCAGTCAGCCTGGGCTCTCGTGGTTTTCTGGCCAACAGCAGCTCCTACACCTTGCCCCAAGCTTGCCGTGATGTTAATGCAAGATGTGCAACTTCTCCAACTGGGGCTGCCTCTCTTGCCAGCCAGGAGCTTGCGTGCCAAGTGCTGAACGGCCCTGCAGGTTGGCATAGGTTGGCACAGGAGCACGTTTACAGTGTTGGAAAGATGGGATCAGCTAGAGTTCCCTCACTACTTTCTGAAAGCCACTGAAACCCCATTTCCTGGCACAAATCTAGCACAAATTGGTGATGATATAGAAAACGAATATTCTTCTCCCTTTTGTGCCTAGTTGTGGAAACTAGGCTTCATATTGTTGCAGGATTAGAACTTGGAGAATGCAGAGCAGAGGTCTGCACTGCGCAAGAACTGTGACGGTCGCTCGGTATCCATCGATATGACGTTGTCAAGGTTCTTTACCGTGTGACTGCGCAGTCTGAGGCATGTGAATGAAGTCTGCATTGCAGAGATGGGAGGCTTATCTGGCCTTTTTATCATCTCCCTTTCTTCTGCCTCCCGAGTCCTATTGTTGAAGAAGGTGACTTGAGTGTCCTGCTCTGATGGCTGCCTCTCATTTCCTCAGTCACCTTCGCACAACGATCTGGAGGGAAACTCACCACTGCAGCACTGTCATCCAACAGATCCTACTTTGTTCTACAGCAGACTCTCTGTACTTCACAAAAGCTGAGCTCTTAAGCTTTGGAAAGGACTGTACCATCCTATAAGAGCAATAAACAGGGACTTTGTCAACAAAACCTTTAAATGAAAATGCAATCAGCATGTGTTTTTGGATTTTACTGGTTATCTATTTTTTTTTAATCAACCTATGGCCAGTACAATAAGTAGTGAGGATTGTGGGTGATTCTCTGGCACACCTTAAGTATTAATCACTTGATATCTCACTCGCTGTGAACTCCAAATTCATCACAAGAGAGATCACACTGACTGATGGAGGGATGCTTTGCCAGGTGTCCCTTTCAATCAATTAGTGCTTCCTTTCAATCATGCATTGCAAAAGGAAAACACTCCATCAAGAGAGGCCACAGGCATGGTCTTCTAGATCACCCACACACACAGACGGTGGTGGACAATTATCTGGGATTTGAGGTAGCCCATTCCACAGATGATGTCGCCTCATGTGGTCTCATTTGAAAATGGTGAAAGGTGCAGCAATAGTCCTGACTATTAGGAAATGTCAGGAAATGCAGGATGTGAATCGCCCTTGTTTTTTGCTGCTCTGGTCACCGGATGAGTCCTTGGATTGTGTGAGCCTTGCAGACACACATTTCAATCACAGACATTTTTAAACGCTAGATCCTACAAACACAAGATGAGCTCCCAGTCCTTGTTCCGGGGACTTCGGCTAGAAGAAGTACTTTAGACAGCTTATTTTAGTACAGGACGTTGGCTTTATAAACCACTACTGTAGTTTTGAAACTAGGCACAGAATGCAGGAAGTAGTCTAATTAAACAATCAGTTAGACTAGGCAATTAGGAGCTAAACTGCATCACAAACTAGAACCCTAGAACTTCCTGCGGCCAGGGTATCGTCATAGAAAGGGATCCCCAAACCCAGTGCTGGCAAGGCACAGCCCAGCAGGGCTTGTGGGTGTCTTGAACACATCTTAAAAGTCTGAGAGAAATGGTTCACTTGTCCCAGATTATTCTCGATTTGCTTCTTCTCCACAAATATGTCAGTTTGTTCTCGATACCCCTGCGCAGACTATATAAATCAGTGCATCCTTTATATGCCCTTAATATGCTTGTGTGCCTGGGTTCATTTTTCATTGATGATGCTGAAGTGGTCCTTCGGGTTGACCTTTGTAATTCCTTTCAGGATGTTGGATACTGGTGTCCTCGCCCTTCACGATCTCCTCAGATACGCTTCAGATGGACTCTTCCTGCCTCTGTGTTATGAGGCAGGAAGTTCTCATCCTCAACACTGGATTGTATTGTCTGCTTTATGAAAACAATGAAATACTGTATGTGTGCCAGAGCTTTTATATTTTAAAATACACCTCTGACGGCCATGACAACTCTAATCTCTCCGTCTGTGTTCTCAAAGACGGTATTCCGAACTCATACATCAGAAAGACTACCGAAACCAAACTTATCCTGCAGCTAGGATCACACATTCCCCCTTCTCTTAACGACAGACTACTCTTCTTTGAAATTTTCTCCATTCATTGGAAGTTTCATTTCACACCTCTCTACACCTATCCTGACTTCATACCTCTTGATTGGCCTCTCTGTCTGTCCCCTGCTCCCGCCTCTCACTCCTCCTCCCTCCCAGCCTTTGTTCTCCCGCTACTTTACCTTTGCCTACTGCCCTGTCTCTCTCACACCTGAAGAAGGCTCCACGGCCGAAACGTTGTGTTTTCTTTTTCATTTTTTCAGCATGGAATAAACCTATTACTTGTTCCTTTATATTTTAAAGATGACAATCACAAACCACACAATTATGAAGAGGTTAAAGTCCAACTTCTAACACTATATCAGTTCTATGATGGTACTGTATCTCTCGCATAGCCTGTAGGAGGGCATTTATTACTCTCTGATTTGTAACATTTTAAATGCTAACCAAAGCCCTGATTTTTTTTTCAGAATACAATGGCATGCCCTTTGACGATATGATATGATTTATGACCAATGATAAATATTTCCCCACCTGGAAGCAAATGAATCAATAATAAATAATCATACACCCAATTTTCAGGTAATGGTAAA